GCTCTTTCCTCACGCCTCCAGAACGGAGGCTTCGCTGGGCTCCGCCTGCCCGCCGCCAGTTAACCGGGATGTTCACATTTGACTTTAATAACTTCACATTTTAGCTCAACAGCCACTGAACCGGTGCAGTCGCCTATTTCCGCAGCCCGCATCGCCGGCCACACGACCCAGCGCCTGGTGTCCCTGCCAGACAACACTGATGCCACTGCCAGACGGGTGATAGGGCTGTGTTCACAGGACGGGTAATTAAAACCCGCAGAAGGCTTTTAAGAATACTCAGGTTGAAAAGCTAGATGACACAAAATAAATTGCACGTATTCAGCAACAACAGAACATGTAATACTCACGCCACAAGACACACGTTGGTTCAAAGGCCAGATTTAGACAGTTAGGAAGGATTTAATGAATAAAAAGGAACAACGGCAGAATAGAAGATTTCAGATTTCGATAAAAACATGAATGATTTAACTTAAATATTTTAGTTTGAAGTACTAATCAAAATTGTGCCTAGATTTGAAGGAAGCCTTCCTGAGAGAAAACTTTCATTTGTTTTTTAAGAAATGAAAATGTTTAACTGTAAATAAAACAGAGAGCGCTGACAGAGCAGCTACGGTGACTGCTGAATATGCAAGAGCAGCCAATCTGTGCTAACGATACAGAAAACTGAGCAAGAAAAATTCACGCATACACAACTAGCCAGAGAGAGGGATATTTCAAGGACAATGAATTAATCATAATGTTTAAGTAGCAAAGGAGTGAAAAGATAATGTGACAATTTTTTTTTCCTCACTTCTTCCTTTCGAACACGAACACTTCATCACGATTTTCAAGCACGCTGCTGCTCCTGTAGACCTGCCTGAGCTTATAAACCCTCCGTACCTACTGCCCGGGGAAGAGATTTCCCGTCTTCCCGCACTGTGCCTGCACAAAGTAATCGTTAGTGGGGATGCTAACGAGTAGATGCCCTCCGAGATGAAGCTGCAGCTCCGACAGCTTTGTGCAAGGCTGCGGGACTGAGGAATTTGCCTTTCCGTGACCGCATTCACGTCAGGCTCTGTGACCGTGCGCGCTGCTCCACCTCCGGCGAACACCCTAAGGGCTAGATCCTGCACCTCGCCGCGAGCCGCTGGTGCCTGCTCCCAAGTCCCGCTCCTGCTGAGCTCCTGCACCTCTGACGAGCTCTGACAAGGCCATCCCCCAAGCAGCAGAACCTACTGGCATGGCAGGGCCAGGCAGAAGAAGCTGGTTTGTCATTAACAGATTTGAGGCAGAAACACGCTGCTGCAGGAAGTCTGAGATGGGAACCGTGATCAGGTCCGTTCCCCTGCTAACACGCAAATCTCTCGTGCCACTCAAATTTAGGAGCGTGCGTGTAGATGTCAATACCAAAATTCAGCCTAGGTAGATATAAAACCAAATTTCAGCCTGATAAACTTCAGTAGCATGGGGAAAAACAGCAACTCAATAGAAAACTAAATTAACTTAATGGAATGGAGGTAGAAACGATGAGGTATGAAGTTCACAGCAGATGCAGAGTATCGCGTGCTGGAGCTGTGTTAAAACCCCACCTCGAGCTCCGGAGAGGAACACCGATGCTTTTACATTACCTCCACCGCAATCTCCTTGGGTGCCATGGGCCACTTGTGCTCATACTTGTCTTGCACAGTTTGGTCACTGTTCGCAGCTGGTGTTGCGTTCTCAGGCCGTACTCCATGGCTCGTTTTGCCCACCAGATTTTGAACCGATTTTACCATATTCTTTAAATCCTCCGGGTATGGAGTGGGGTAACGTTTTAGATTTATTTCAACCTGAACATTCATAAAAAGAATTAAAGCACAAATACAAAATGAAAACAGCATGCAAACTGAAACCATGGTTACAGTACTACGGCTAAGTGCAAACTCCTCTAATTCTTAATTACCCTGTTTGAGGCAATGTGTTACACACAGCTATCCTCATGGATTTCTGCGCTGAGATTTGCTCTCGGTTACGTTACGTCACCCTACAGTGGAATTCCAGTGAAATAAAATAA